CGAAATTGCTACTATTATAAATAATTAATACATAATCTATGTTATCTGTTATAAATACTTGTCATACATATAAATAATATTAATATATATCTAAGAGGATCATTTGTGGAGGATCGATTTAAGATTAAAAGTAAAATCAAATTTGGTTAATGCTTACTTATCAAGGTATAAACAATTTAATGTTTAATTCCTTAATTTTTCTGCGACATATAATTTTCGACACTAGAATAAATGACAATATCTCATTATCCAATATATATAGCCAATGCTATATTATTAATAGAAACATATCAAGTGTCATGATACGATGCTTAACTTTGGTAAATTTTAACAAAAATACTTATTCGTAGATGATAGATTAAAATACATAACATAAAAGGAAAATTGAATAAAAATTTATTTCTATTTTACTCATAAGAAATGTTATTCTATCTTAATAAAGCGAAATCAAGGAAGAAATAATTAATTGTCAGAATATGATAGTGCTTGAATAATTATTAAAGAATCAAATTCAGATGTGAAATCAATGTATCCTCATGTAATTAATTAATAATATACTTGCTCAAAATGATAACCTTAACAAACGATATTGTAGAAACATTGAAATCAATGAAATAACTGCTATTTTAAATAATTATTATATAAAATTTGGAAAAAGTGTTTTTTTCTTTCATGGTTTATCTTTTTATCAATTATTGCTTTCAAACTATTTTATTTAACTTTAACTTCTTTTTTTAATTTAATTTGTTTTTCTTTAATTTGTTATTTTCATATATTCATATTAAATGTAATATAAGAGATATTTAAACTAATATAAATATAAGTAATCATTAATTTCTATATTATTGTAATTTTTAAAGGTAGAGAAATAAAAGTAAAAGATATTGTGCGAAAATGATATTTATTTTATTCATTTATAATAATTATTTATTTATAAAGAAATTTTGAAAAATATTTGATTTACATCAAGGAAAGATTAATTAACAGATTTTAATGTGATTTTGAAGAATGATGAGCTTGATTATTAAAATTTGCGCAACGAGTATTTTTTATTAAGTCATTTACATTTGCACTTAAAACTCTGAAGTTTACTTCGTTGAAATTATAATTATGGTTCATAAATTTCTGTAATCTATTACTTAAAACCAACATATATTCATTCCTTTCAGTTTTATTAATTCTGTTGGATTGTGGAAAATCTTGCTTAATTTTAATACTAAATATCATTTGAAGTGTCTCTTCATTTTGAGCGACCATATCCTGTAATTTTAAAATAATTTCATTTTTATTATACTTCTTTCTAAAAAACATTTGTTGCTAAAACGTAAATGGCATAAATTCGATTATTTAGTTAAATTGTTGTCAACGCATCTATAACTTTATGTTTACAGAAATTTTAAAACAATTTTATATTCACTTATTTTTTGACTATCAAATTAATCAAATTCGATCACTTTTTTGAACTTAATTAAAAGTTTGTGCAATAGAAAGCGATTTTAAAGATTTGATTAAAAGATAATTAAGATAAATGTAGTTTTGCAAAGAAAACGATTTAAACATTTTATTGAAAAAAAACATGAAATTACATTATTTCCATTATAATTGTTTGATTTCCATGCAAAGACAAGCGTTGCATGGAATCATGTGACTCGTATTCCTGTCAAATTATAATTGGGACAATGTAATATCATGTATTTTTCATGTGGAAAAAAAGATGCTAAATCTAATAATTGGAAAAAATATGCCAAGAAAAGAAAGAAGATTAATAAATTACTAACGATATTTTGTCTCTGAATTAGTTGATGCTCGTTCAAGCACCCAAGAGCTGAATTATTCACAAGACCGAAGAAGACGACGCCATTTTTCGATACTGCTTTAGCAGATAATTGAGTATTGTAAATGTCTTCAACTCTAAAATTAATAAAAAATGTGTAAGATGTGGAGCATCGATAAAAAATATTAATCATGATGTAAATAAAAATATTAATTGAAGCTTATTTATTAAGTTATTAACAATATAAATTTAGATTAAATGATAATATAACAAAGACAGAATTTTATATTCTAGACTATATTTTATCCAACAATATATTTCAATGTGAAATATATATAGGAAACAATTTTCAATATTTTCAATTAAAAATACTCAAAATTGTATTGGCCATGAAACATAAATTGAAAAACTGTTCTAGAATCAGTTTTCCAAAAATGTTTTATAAACAGGATATTAACAGGATAAATAACAATAACTTATTCTATTATATAAAATTTAAAAAAATTATTCACCCTTTATATTGCACGTTATTTCCTTCATATTCTGATTTCATGAATGGTTCCGTGTTAACGTAATACAAACTGCGAGAAGAGAGAGGGCTATAATAAAGATTGTTCGTCACGGGACTAACTGCTATTCCAAAAATTCCATCTTGCAATATGAAACTTTCACCTGCGATCGTAAATTCGGTATATCGTGGATCGTAATCGAAAGTATTGGAAGTCAATCGATGGAGAGAATTGTCGGAATTTTGGTAAACACTTAAAGCGTTACCTCTGTTGTCTGCCATATATGCCTAATGTATCATTTATATATTGTAAGTAATAATATTATTCTATAGGTTTTAACTTTTTTTTGATTTTGTAATTTTCAATAGATTTTTTTCTATACTATATATTATTTTTTTTTAATATACTTTAATATACGAATACGAATCTGCAAATCGTCTTTTCCAAAATACCATTTTTTAAAAAAAATTGTAATTTTTCAATTTTAAAAAAATTTTCTACTTTTAGAACAATAGTTATTTATTAATATCGATAGGAAATGATCTCTCTCGAACGAAATGTTACTGATAACATAATGGTTATTAAATTATAAATATGTAAATGTATTTAAATAATGATCCAACGTAAAAGAACATCAAAAATACATACATTTTTAAAAAAATCTTTCGAAAATTACAAAGTTAGTTTTACAAAACAATTTGATATTATTTGATAAATTTTTCTGCTAAAGGAAATAAAAAAGAAATTATAAAATCATTTTTTTATTTATATAAAAGCGAAATAATATAAATTTTAATTTTTTTGATCTAAATAATTCAAAAATTATTTCACTATTTCAAAAATTATGAATTGTTATCATATTACAATATTATTCACATAATAATAATTAAATAATTTCTAATTTAAAAACACATAGAGAATTTCTACCATATAAAAAATACAAATCAAACACAAAAGAAAAATAAAAAATTTCCAAGAAAATGAAGATGATTACTTTTAAACTCACCATGGTATTTATAGGATCTATAGCTTGAACAGCTAGAAATACTAGTCCTCCTTTTCCTGTGGTGGCATTTACGGCAATATCATGCGGTATATGGACTTGTTTAAGTAACTGTGAGGTATTCAGATCAAAGGCAAGTAATTTTGGAGAACAAATGAGTTTGGTATTGTTAATAAGACCTGAATCCAGAACCCACAATCTATCGAATTTGTCAATCTAAGCATTATAGAACAAATGAATTTTTCTCTTTTCAAAAAAAATATTAATTCTGAAGATATCTATAGTAAAAAATATTTCAATTACCGAAATTTTGTAAACGCTCACGATTCCAGAGCAATCTTTATACTTCGCCCACGACCAATCAGGATACGGTTGTAGAAGCCGTCCACTGTTGCCAATTTTATCAGATATCACGTTCAAAGAGGAAGGCACACCATCGTATCTTATTACAGTGGCAAAAGTCTTGTCTTGAACAAGAAATGCAAAATATTATCTAATATTTTTTATCAACACAAAAATCAAAAAATATGAGTGATGAAGATTATTGATTATTAAATATTTTGACAAGTAAAATAATAATATAATAATAATATAATAATAAAATTTTTTATGATACCATGCCATTGATCGACATCGAAGAGATAATTTTTCGTAAAATCGTATTCGCCAGATTGAATCGCAGCTTGTCTTTTTTCTTCGCTACCAAAATCATAATCAAGATACTTCCATTCGTGAATCACGTTCAACGAATTTGCCAAGTTTCTTGAAGAATTTTCTGGAGTAATGGTGCCTGTGATACCATGAGAAGTTACGCCAAGGCATACCAGCAACAACCATCTTGTCATTTTTCTATAAAAATATTTCATTATGTGAGACAAATAAAAAATTGTATATAACATGTGGAACACTTACCTAGGATATTGCAAATATTTTGAAGAGAACGTAGAATAGAACTCGTAAACTCACAAAAATTATGAAATTTTTACTACGATCGGTCTATATATAGGCGATAATGTATTTCACAGAGGTAAAGTAAATTGTAATTTTAAATTTTTTTAATTATTTATTTATTTTGTTGTAAATATTTTTAAAGGATTAGAACGTGACAAGTTGTAATTTATATTCCCTAAAGAAATAATTTAAGTAGGAACTTTACAAAATTTCATTTATTTGTTCTGTCACATAACTGTTTTTCTTTGTTTCTATCATATGCATAGTTCTAAAGAACTATTAATCGAGATAATAATTGCTTTTACTAAGACAAATACTTATGAAAAATAATTTTTCAAAAAAAGAAATATTGAAAAATATTATGTAACTCATAATGTTTATTTAATTTATTTAAAAATTAAGTCTAAACAAATAATTCGTATAGTCTACAAGAGATATAATATAAAGAATATGATGTTCTCTTTATAGTTTAAATGCAATCGGTGTATTTTATCTGTGTGTTTACATCTGAATTTGAAAATTGAAAAATTTAAAGGAACATCTTTTCATAGTTAAAGAAATATGAAAATTAAGAAAAGTTTAATAAGTCTTATTAATGTCGATTCTGCAATTTCCTAATTATTTTAATTTCATTTATCTTTTTTCTCATCAAACATTTGCTGATGTGATTGATGATCCATTCGATAATTTAAAATATTTATTATTATACGTGACACAAGTTTAATTTTCATGTAAAGATTGGTTAAAATATGTTTTGTTATAGAAAAATATGTTGTTTATAGAAAAATATATTCGATTATTTGAAACAAATAAAAAAAAGTAACGAATAATTAATGAAACTAAAAAATGGATAAATGATTATATTGGATATATTATTAGCTAATAGTATCATCATCGGTTATAACCGTAATTATAACGTCAATTTTCACAATAGTTATTCGTCAAAATTAATTAATATCTCTAATTTTTCTTTATATTTTTATCGTATCGTGTAAAATTAATTTAAATATTTTTTTATAAATAGCTAGATAAAACCATGTTAATTAAATGTCAACATATGAATTTTTATGCACGATCTTAGAAGAATTTATACATCTTAAATTGAAAAATTTAAATAGAGTTTAATTTTTGATGACTAAATTGTTAACAAATATATACTATATAAAAATATTTATAGTTAATAACAATATTCTCTTTCTCTTTCTCTTTCTCTGGATTTTCATTCCAGTAACTGTATCATTTATAAATCCGAAAAATATAATAATTCAAGACATTCCTCTTCTGAATCGTAAAATATTCTGGCCTTTGAACTATAAATTAATTATCCTGGTATTCATTGGTGATATTATAAATTGTTGTTTTCATCTTGTCATTCTGCAAGTTCTTTCGTTTTTAATAATAATCCTAAAATTTCATATATTTTTAAAAAAATTTTTTTCATCGATTGGCAATATATTATATTTCGAGTTATAATCGAATATAGAAATTCAGATCGAAAATATTGTAAATAATTAATATTGATGGCTATGAGTATCACATAAAAATATAAAAAGAGTTGATACTTTTAAAATATTTTTGAAGTGTTGATTTAAAAGAAGTTAATAAGTTAAAAAGTTGGTATTGATTACAACTTACCAAGATATAAACAATTTAATATTGGATTATACAAAGAAAGTGAAGAGATGTGACAGAGATAAAACTATCTTTAATCATATCTCTTCTCTCTCTCTCTCTCTCATCTCTCATTTAATGCAAACTTTAATTTTTTATATTTTAATAAATAAATCTTGAATATCATGTTAACTTTTGCATTTGTTTTGTTTTCCAGAATTAACTTTTTAAATGTATTAAATGAATATTATTATTTTTCCTATAATTAATACTATATCTAGTAAACTAAAGAAAGAAGAATTGTACGAAATAAGTTAAAAAATTAATTACACATAATTTATAAATAACTTTTATTTTTTATTGAAGTACTTTGTTTATGAAAAAGTATGAAAAAAGTATGAAGTATAAAAAAGAATTATGCAACGATGTTTAATATTAATTCAAACACAAAATTGTTTATAATTGTGAAAATAATAATTAATTTTCTACCAATGTTCAATGTTATAAACTAAAATTAGTTTAATTTCTCTGTGATAAATTTCGACACTAGAATACATGATGTCTCATTATTGTCAAAGCTATATCATAAACATAGGAATGTCACGATGCCATGCTTAATTTTTGTAATTTTTTAATGAGAATACTTATTTCTTGATGATAGATAAGTATTATAAAATATACATAACATAAAAACTTGAATAAAAATTTATTCCTATTCTACTAGATAATATAAGAAACGTAATTGATAACTCTTAGTAAAGTAGATGAAATTGAAGAAAAAACTATCAATTGTCAGAAATTTATTATTATATTATTATATTATATTGTATAATGTTTGGATAATTGTGAAAGAATCAATTTAGATGTAAAATCAATGAAATGTATTTTTATGTAATTAATTAATAATATACTTGCTCAAAATAATAATTTTCACAAAAGATATTGTAAAAACATTGAAAAAAATGAAATAACTGCTATTTTAAATATCGTTATATAAAATTTAATATTGAAAAAAAAATGTAATATTGTTTATTACAAATGTAATGTGAAATTCATTTTTTTTTAATGCTTTATGTTCTTGTATCAGTTACTACTTTCAAATTATTTTGTTTAATTTCTTAATCTGTTATTTTACATTACATTCATTTATTCATATTATAAATATAATGTAAGAAATATTTAAACTAATACAAATACAAATACACATTAATTTCTATATTATCATAATTTTTTAAAGGTAAGGCAATAAAAATGAAAAATATCATGCAAAAACGATATTTATTTTATTCATTTATAATATAAAGAAATTTTAAAAAATATTTTGTTTATATCGAAGAAAGACTAATTAACAGATTTTAATATAAAGAATGATTAATTAATTGTTATGCTTATTTTGATTGTTATTCTGATTATCAGCACAACGAGTGTTCATTATTAAATCGTTTACATTTGCACCCAAAATTCGGAAGTTTACTTCATTGAAATTATAATCATTGTTTATAAATTTCTGTAATTTCATACTTAAAGCCATCATATATTCATTCTTTTGTCTATCCATCCTATCCATATTATCCATTTTATTCATCCTATCCATCCTATCTATTCTATCCATTCTATCCATCCTATCCATGCTATCCATCCTATCCACCCTATCCATGCTATCCATCCTATCCATGCTATCCATCCTATTTATCCTATCCATTCCATTCATTTTATCCATCCTATTCATGTTATGCATCCTATTCATGTTGTTGGATTGTGAGAGATGCATCATTTTCATAGCAACGACTGTTTGAAGTGTTTCTTCATTCTGAGCGACCATATCCTGTAATTTTAAAATAATTTAAAACATTTTTATTTATACTTCTAAAAAACATTTATCGTTAAAATATAAATGACATAAATTCGATTATTTAATTGTCAAAGCATCTGTAATTTCCTCATATTTACAGAAATTTTAAAAATGTTTATTTTGACTAATTTTTGATGTGATTATCGAATCGATCAAATTCAATCATTTTTATGAATTCAACTAAAATTTTGCGAAAACTCATCTTGATGAGTTAATTAAAGAGATAATTAAGATAAACATACATTTACAAAGAAAACGATTTAAGAATTTTATTGAAAAAAAACACGTGACGTTATATTATTTCCACTACGATTACATTACACTACATTATATGACCAAAGACAAATATCAAAATTCTGTCAAATTTATAGTAATTAGGATAATGTAATGTCACATATTTTTTCTCGTCTGAAGAAAAGACTATAAGTGATAGCAGCTGGAAGAAATGTGTCAAGAAAAGAAGAAAGATTAAAAAATTACTAACCATATTTTGTCTCTGAAGTGGTTGATGCTCATTCCAACAACCAATAGCTGAATTATTCATGAGACCGAAGAAGAGAACGCCATTTTTCGACATTACTTTAGCAATCGATTCAGTGTTAAAAATATCTTGAACTCTGGAATTAAAAAAAATATAAAATTAGAAAAAATATTGAATGAGGCTTATTTTTTAAATTATTAGTAATTTAAATTTGCATTATATGATAGAGAGGGAATTCTATATTCTTTCTCTTGTTTCATCAATGTTTCTCAATGGTTATATATTCGACAAGAAACAATTTGAAAATTTTTAATTAGAAATCATGATTAATATTATCATGATTCATTAAAAGAATATTAATCATGATTCATGAATTGATAAATATTCTTCTTTACAATTAATTTTCCACAAAAATTTCATGAATATATTAATACATTATTTAATGTAATTAAAATTTAATGTAAATTATTCTATTTCTTAAAATTTTAAAAATTATTTTTATATTTACCCTTCATATTGTACGTTATTTGCTCCATATTGTAATTTCATGAAGGGTTCCGTGTTAACATAATACAAACTGCGAGAAGAAAGAGGGCTATAATAAAGATTGTTCGTCATGGGACTGAGTGCCATTCCAAAAATTCCATCTTGCAATGTAAAACTTTCTCCCGCGGCCATCATTTTGATATATTTGGGATCGTAATCGAAAGTGTTGGAAGTCAATCGATGGAAGGAATCATCGGAATTTTGGTAGATGATTAAAGCATCACCTTTGTTATCTGCCATATACACCTGTTGTATTATTATTATATTATAAGTAATAATATTGTTCGATCGATTTTAATTTTTTTTTTGATTTTGTAACTTTCAATAGATTTTTCTTATTAATTTTAATGTAAATAACTAAATACGAATTTGCAGAATCATCATCTTTCCCAGAATACATAATTTTTA